GGTAGTGGTAGTGGTAGTGGTAGTGGTAGTGGTAGTGGTAGTGGTAGCCGTGGTAGTAGTAGTAGTAGTAGTAGTCGTCGTCGTAGTAGTAGTAGTAGTCGTCGTCGTAGTAGTAGTAATAATAATGATGGTAGTAGTTCTTGTTGTGGTTGTTGCTGTTGTTGTTGCTAAGCCAAGTCCTGCACAGACTTCCACCATCAACAGAGAAGGCCGCTGAAGTGACCGCCTTGAGATCCAAGACTTTTGACCGAATCCCACACTCCCAGAGTGGTTGTGCAAGTGCTGCTACTAAGTCTCCGGCAGAAGCTTCCTCTCCTGGACTCAAGACCTTGGCCGGTTATGAAGGCGAAGGGATACTGCAACCTTTCCGGCCAGAGCCTGAGGTTTGGCTGGTATATCTTGGAGCTTGTTGTCCAAGAGAACCACGGCACCCCTGCCGAGTTGTTCTTTCTTCGTGTGTCGAAAGAATTCTGAACAATATGTCCCACACCCAAGGCCTGAGCGTTCCAACACCCACCAGTTTATTGCTTGCAGTCACACAGGTCGGAAGTCCAGCTTCCTGGAGGAAGTGGGTGAACGAAGTGAAAGGAAAGAAGGAAACAACAACAAGGAGACGATATGAAAGGAAACGACTGTCGTCCTGGGCCAAGAATCTGCGCAGCTCGGCGCATGGTTTGACCTCATGAAAAGGCTCATGTTGTGCATCAGAATAGGCAGACCCCAGCTACAGGATGTTGTGGGTCTTTGGGGTCCCTGGGGTCCCTCTATTCTACAAGTACTGCCGAGTCATGCCGAGGCACCTCTACCAAACGAGGAATGCGGGCAGCCTTGGCAAAATCTGTTCAGCTAAAGCCTTCAAAAGCGACGACAGAGCACTTATTTGTGGGTAGCGGATGTGCAGAGGTTCAAAGCAAAGGCTATAAAGGAATGCGTGCAGGGGAGCTGTCCTGAATTCCCATCCGCTTCTCCTACGAGTTTTCCTGGAGGATAAACCCATGGTAGTGTCCTTCTGGGCAAAAACAACGGGCATATACCAGGCATACACCCACAAGAATGCCAAAGACAAGGCGGATGGATGACGCTGCTAGCTCGTGGACATTGCAAGCAAAACCTGATATACAAAAAGTAACCAATTCTTGAATATCGAGCTTCATCGCTACATGCGTTTGGCAAAGGCAAAGTGAAGCCACTATCTAGCCTCGATCAGCGTGGAAGAAGCCAATGTGGTTTTAGAAGCAGCACCACTTCCTTGTTCGGAAAGATGGCAGTCACCATCTGAAAGAAAAGTCTTTTGAAAACACTTTGGATTCAACTCAAGGTCCGAACCAGACTGAAGCGGCTCTCGCTCGTCAGCAGGAATGCCTGCCGCTGAATCAGTCAAGCGAGACAGTTGTGCGAGGAAACTCAGATCCAGGCTGTCAGCACAAAGCAAGGACTGAGTGACAGGAGGAAGCACTGCATGAATATATGTATATATAGATATACAGGTTATACAGGACTAAGCCTGACTAAGCCATCTCTGAAGGCAGCTTCGGGCTTAAGAAACACTGGGACTCCGAGCCCGCTCGTGTTCGAGGCACCACTCAAAGGGTGCTTCAAAAAAGGCCTGAGAGCTTTCGAAAAAAGCATTTGAGCATTCGAATCGAAGCTTCAACAAAAGCCGCGGGATCTCGGGGTGCCTGTGTCTCATCTCCTTCACTTTGGCCTCATGAGGAAACTGTGGCAAAAATGCAAAGCAAGAAATGTACAGAGATCTTCACCTCTCTGAGTGGAGGCAGGAGGCCTGTGCGAGCAAAGAATGAAAGCTGCAACACTGATCGAAGCACCAGGGTTCAAACGGGGCACGAGGCTGTTGCTCGATCTTCATTTTGGCCTGGAAAAGACAGACGAAAGCACATCAGGAGAATCTTGACCTGGGGCCCGTCCTTTGGATTATTCATCAATCGGCCTTGTCAGATAATGCATCACTCGGTGGTCTCTCATCACTGGAGGAGTCCTTCCGCAAGTAGCAGGGTGGCCAAAACAATACGTTTCAGCGCCATGGTTTGGGATGGTTCTTGAGATACAGCGGCCAATGGAGTATTATATACATATATACATACGTTATATCATGTGCATCTGGCATGTACATGTGTGTATATATACACATACACATGCATATTTGCATACACGAAGATTGACATAGACATAGACTTAGACTTATACTTGTACTAAATACAGAGTACATACTCAAAGTATATATATAATATAGTATGTGTTTTGAACAGTTCCTATTGCCAGTTGACAAAAACAAAAGTCAAGCAGTCCGATCCCATTGCCAGCAGCTCATCCAATCCAACCTTTTGCCTAGGCGAGCAGACTAAAGCAAGGTTGGTCAGTGAATCATCAACTGTCTAGGAAACGAACCCAGACTTCACACCAGTCTGTTCCTGCAAGAGGTATCCCCATGTGCCTAGACTGACCACAGACACAAAAGCTGCTCCTGCGATTCTGCGCTGGAAATCTCTTGACCACTTTTGCCTGGAAAGCTGTGGGTGCTATCACAAATCTGCTGGAGACGACTTAGCACCACTGCCTGGATTCAGCTTCGATCTGGCCTGCCAAGCCATGCAAACAAGTGAATCCTGCAGCATGACACTCTTGACTCTGCCTCGGGAACTTCAGAAGGCTTTGCAATTGGACCTTGCAAAACAATCTGCATACTGTACTGTACCACTCACGTTGAACATCGCAAATGAACAAAAGACTGCAATCTGATGCCAACGCTACTGCATACTATGACTCTTGCCAACATCATCCTCGTCCTCAAGAGTCATTCTGGGCACTGGTCAGCAAACTGGCAAACAACAACATTTCCGCTGATTCCGACGTCCTCAGAAAGATCCACCTGTGCCAGCACCTCCGCACACTTCCAATCAGTTCCGCTTTCTGGGGAACAACTTGTCAGCCTCCTCCAAAGTGGGAGCGGCTGCAGGCTGTTGCATTGAAACATCCTGAGGATCAACAAGAACACCATCTTCAAGATTTGTCAAGCAATTGAACAGGAAAACCTTTGGAACTAAGTCACTAAGTGTCCAACTGTCCCTTGCTTGGCAAACGCCTTCAAAAAGGAACAACAATCAAAAACATGCAGGACCTGTGTTCAGAGCAGCCTCTTGTCCTTTGCCGTCTTTGGCCTGTGCAATAGGTAGCTGAACCGAAGCTATGGCTTTTGAGCGCTTGCCTGCCTCATTGGCAACATGTTCATCATCACTCGAAGATTCTGCAAGGAGTTCATCAACCGTCAAAGACCTGAGTTCAACAAACACAACACAGCGACATGGTTTTCGCATTTTTGTGCAACAGCCGACTCATCACGAACTGAGTTGGCAGCATTCCATTACGGTCATCACCGTTTTGTTTAGCATATTCAACACGGAGCTGTCGTAAAGGGTCTTCAAGTGAGTAAAAACAAAACAAAACAAAAAACGTGAATACCGTTGTTTTTGCAGTTCATCCCAACATAGGTTTGTGTTTGTTTACTGGCTGGATACTGCATCCAAACATGTATAATATGCACCCTTAAGAAAATTCAATACCTGACAATGGTTGGAGCGCTATTGAGCTAAGGCAACTCTAACCGCCCAGCTGCAAGCAAAAGAATTCGACAAATCATCCAAATCACTCCAGTTGGCACTGGCACACACTTATGTAATCACTCCCTTGTTGCAGTGAAATGAGAGCGGACAGTTTTCGCAACATTTTCAATTTTCGCTCATCTTCCTTGATGAACCATGCAACACAACAAAGGCAAAACATTGCAACAATGTTCCTTTATTCCACAGTTTCATGCTACAAGGCGCAAAGCTGGTCTTGGCAAAAAGAAAAGTTTGGAAATACACCGACGCTCGCTGTGAGCTGCTCTGTTTCAGGGCAATGGAAACGTTGGACAAAACCCCCATCCCCAGTGGATTAGCAGCAAGTAGACAAGAGCGGTTCAACGCAAGTGTGACTCCAAGGGTTTCGGGAAATCCAGGTGCAGGACCAGGCAGGGTACAGTCAGGCAATGCACCTGAGGATGTGAAAGTGGGGCGCCACTTTCACCTGGTTCAAGTGATCCGTGCATGTCAAGTTGGTTCAGTGTTTGCAGCCCCTCCAGTCTTCAAGAGTGACCTCAAACCACGCTATTTACAGTTTTTTTTGTGGCGGTTCGGCAGAGAAACGCGTAAAGGCCGATGGTTTTTGAACTGTCTAGGCTTCAAAAATGGTCGAAAAATTGCCAAAAACCTGGAAAGATTGTGTCGGAAAGGGTTTTTTCGGTTTTTGGAGATTTCAAACTGGCCACTGGCCAAAAACGACGGTAGTCTGGAAAGTCCCGGATTACTTGTGATTCCCTGCTACCTTTCGTTCACGCCGTTTTCTAGCCGTTGACAAAGAGCCGCGCCAGGGTGGAGTTGAAAGGGGGGGGTGGCCCCCCCGGCCTCTAAAATGAAATGTCGGAGGGCGATTCTCAGGGAGATAGGCCTCCACTCTGGCTATAATTCATTTTTGCTAAAGCACTAGACGACGGTTGGCCCGAGCGCGAGACATGTAATTGTCCAGCGCTGTCGAAAAGATGTATAGAAAGAGAGAAAGAGAGGGTGGATGTGAAGGAGTGAGAGTGTGGATGTGCAGGTGCGATATAGATCTGTAGATGTATGGAGGTGGAGAGGTCAGAGACGAGAAAAAAGATATGTAGAAAGAAAGAAAGAAAGAAAGAAAGAAAGAAAGAAAGGACAGATGTGAAGGAGCGACAGTGTGGATGTACAGATGTGATATAGATGTGCAGATGTGTGGGTGTAGTGAGGTGGAGAGGTAGATCTGCGGATGTGAGCGTGTGAAGATGTAAATGTAGAGAGGTGAGGGTGAGGGGTTTGTAGACGCAGATGCGTCGATGCAACGGCAGCGCAACGTCAACCTTAGTTGCGCAAGTACAACGCTGAAAAGGTTCAAATAGAGCTGAAGAACGTACATCTCACACTGAAGTTTCCACGAGCAGGGCGACCTGAGAGTAAACGACGTCACGATCATGACAAGCGACTCGTGTATTCCAAGCGAACATCGTTTGTCATGAAGGTGAAGTACTGCAAAGTCGCCAGTTCTCATCTTCCAGCTCCCCAGATACTCCGCGTACTAAAGTTGTACTAAAATGTCGCCAGTTCTCATCTTCCAGCTCCCCAGATACTCCGCGTACTAAACTTGTACTAAGAGCTGGGAGCTTTGGTTCCTGTTGGTGGTCCCCCTGAGTGTCCAACCTTGCAGAACCTATCCGAGACAGAGGAGACGCAGGTGAAGAAGAGGAAGAGGATGAAGTGCTAGTGCTAGGCTGCCTGCGCAAGACGCTTTCCTTTCAGTATTTTTGAGTTTAATTCACTTGAGAGCCTTGTGACTCAGCGCCGCAGAAGATCATTGCATGAAGCTTGTGGCTTCCACAAGCATTAATGCCAACAAATAGTTACAATACTTCTTTCCAAGTCCTAGTGCACAAAGAAAGCAGCGAGTTTGTCAATCACTGTGGTTTTCATTTGCTCATTGAGGTTTGTAAGTTCCAGGCGTGGAACAAATCCTGGGTTTCTGAGAAGGTCCAGTTGTGCAACAGATGTCATGACGGCACAATAGCCTTTCTTCAAGTGCTGCAATTTTTTGGCATTCCCAAAACGCATGTTTTCACATTCATAGCTGCTGTGGCTGCGAGGCACTTTGAGTTCGCGTTCTTTTTTGAACAAGCCATGGTAAAGGGCGTAAGACAGGTGATGGCGCAACCCAAGATGCAAACGCTGAGGCTCAACCTGTTGATGTCAGCCTGACATGCCAGAAGTGTGGCCAGCCAACAACCCTCAAAGACAGCTGTGCAAATGGGAGGAATTGGGTCAGGCGCAATTGCACAGAATGCATTGCTACCGACAAGTGGCTGAATCGCCGAGCTCAGAAGCCCAACAAAGTTGAGGCTGAAGAGCAAAAGGAGAGGAGAGAACAAAAAGCACAAAGCAGTCACTTGTTTTTTTTGCACGAGTGGAGACGCCATGTGCGCAGGATGCACAGGTCATCTGTCTAAAGGTGGAGACTCTGCAAGTTAAAAGGGAGGAGAGAACCAAGAACAAAAAACAACAAACAAACCAAACCACAACCAAAACACCAAAACAAGAAACCCCCAAGCAGAAAACTGCAGAGTTTCGCTCTGTACGCAAGAGTGAGACATGGTGAAACATGTGAAACACTGCAACTAACTACCCGGGCCTCGAATTCTCGAATCATCTGCTGCTCTTGCTTGTGGAGTGATTTTGTGCGTTCAGGCTTAGTTCGGACAAGCCTGATCACAGACGCTCACCACCGGAGTGCTCGAGAAGCGCTCCAACTCCTGCTTTAGTAGGGCAGGATGTTAATCCAGCAGTCTGCGAATGAGAAGGCAGTGCCTGACGGTTCCCAATGATTGCGGCATATCATGGACTTGCACGAGTGCAGTGCATTTCTGGCCTTGGAAAACAGTCAGCATCTGGTCACAATCATTTCACACAATTGCAATGGCAGAAGAAACTGTGGCCTGTAGTGGGCGTTTGCCGTAGCAGGGCATTGCGTGCAAGCGTGCCTGAAAGCGCCTGACGAAACCTCCCTCAGCAGAGGGAGGGGTCACGCACACGACCAGCAGGCTCCTTAACAGCAAAAAAAGCCTACAGGAGTGCAGGAAGTGTGCGATATGCTATCCAGGAAGGATAGAATTGGCATTCATTAGTCGGTTGCCTCCTTCATGCATGGCCCTTGTGAAACATGGTGAAACGTGAAAAGGCTAGCATGGTGCTATATGCCCACTTTGTACAAGATTGGCAGGGTACGGACCCTCACCAGGCGAGGAACTAAGGTTCTCACCCGGGTGCCAATCAGCTACCTTTCTACCGTCGCGCGCAGACACCGGTCAGGAGCTAAGGCTCGCAACCGGGCCAGCTCACTAGCAGCGCACAAGTATGGACATATTTGGCAGAAATCATTTTTGACCCAAAAGGTTATCTTCTCTTCCATTGAAACTGGAGAGGGCAGTCGAAACGCTTTGCCATTAGCATTGTCCACTGCGGCATGCGTGGACTTATGCTGGGCACGGTTCTACTTTGCTAGGCATCAGCTTGGATATAGTCCTGCACAGCCGCAAGGGTCATCGCCGTGTGAGGCAGACTTCGAATTTCGAAAGCAGTTTCGTCGGCGCATGCCCCTCTCCACTTTGTTTGGCCTGACCTTCTCGTGAAAAAACTTCCAGAAGGGCGGGTCATGGGGGGTGGATTTTTGGGTTTTTGCTTTTAGGAATTTTTAGAAGTTTGAAGGAAACTCTGCTCCAAATAACAGAAGGAAACTACACTTCTGCTCTGTCTACTTCTCTGCTCTGTCTGGTACAAACGTCTGCTTTCTACTTACTCTGGCTGCGTCAAGACCAAAAAAACCAAAAAGCAAAAAAACAAAAAAGCCAATCTCTGCCCCAAGATTGTCTGGTCTGCTGTCTTTTGGTTATTCTTTGGTTTTTTTGGTTTTTTGGTTTTTTTGTTTTTTTTGTTTTTTTTGCTTTCCTGTCTTACACTCCTCTCATCTACATGTATCTGCAAACGCATGGACACGCATTGTCAGCATTATGTCTGTCTTACCTCTCACGCCTTCCGGGGCCACAGTAGTACGCCGACAAGTTGCAGCTAGTTGCAATGTATCTCGCCCTGTCACACTTGCACATGCCCTTGTCCTTCTTTGATACTTGTAGCTTTTGCCGTCCAAGTGTCCTATTTGCCCATCCTCTTTGGCTTTGCCATGGCCGTGCGTCCAGATGACATGGACTATGATGCCTTCAAGCCCTTGTGCGATGGCCTGGTTTGCCGCCCCTTGTCCTCTCCCGTGGTGACTGTCGAGCAGCATCCGGGCGGGTTTACTCCGGCCAATTTCCCGGCCTGTGCGTGCAGTGCCAATGACAATGCAGGAGTGCATTTCTTTGATGTGGTGCGCGATGTCCGTGAGCCCATCAACTTCCTTGAGGTGGAGCGCATGTACAAGCACGCCTGTGAAGCAGAAGACGTTGGGATTTTGCCGCCACCTTTTGGATTGAAAGAAAAGGTGCCTGGCTCCATCAAATTCCAGTTTGTCATTGTCACCTACGAGGATGGATCGCACACAATCTGGAAACATTTCATGTTCGCCAACAAGCTGAGATCCAACCTCTTCATGCAGTATGCCTTCGGTGAGGCACAAAGGCCACTGTTCATGAACCGAGACCCCAGGCTGGCAAGGAAAATTCTCCAATATTGCCTCGAGCGCATGGGTGGTCGCCTCTTCAAATGCGCGGAGCTCACCTCGCAGGCCGTGAGCCTGAAGGTCAAGCCTGTGCCATTCGAGGACAAGGACGATGAAGACATCGACAAGGGGTTCGACCGTGTGTGCCGCTTTGGACCGTGTGTGCGGCTTCAAGCTATCTTCCAAGGGAGCTGCCGCATGCACACAGATCAAGTACTGGGCCGTTGATGAATTCCACGCATATGGGCACAAGAAATCGTGCAAATGCAATCCACGCTTTGTCAAGAGGCTTTCCAGGAGGTTTGCTAAGACCAACACTGCCGCCTGTGAACAGGTCTTTTCGCGGTTCAGAAACTATGCACGAGTACTCAATGAGAGTCGCCCATGTCGGCACCAGTTCAAGGTCTTGCTGTATGCTAAGATGCACAATGAGGCGATCACACGCAAGAAGGCATCCTACCTGAACAAGTTCACCGTCCAAACGAAAGTCAAGGGCAAATCCTATGCGTGCACCAAGAAGCCGGCTGCCAAGAAGTGACCTGCGCTACGCATGCTTTGGTAAGCAATGGGAGGTCCAGTCTGAAAGAGCTCCGGTGTAGTATAGCCTGGCTATCCTTTGGGTAGAAACTATGTGTAGTTCTGGTCTGGATAGACTGTGCGCTGTATAGCAGAAGATTGACTGAAAAGATTGCTGCTTTGTTGGCTCTCTGTGTTTCCTGCAACTTCAACATCCACATACACACACATAGGCCCATCTGCTTCAATACTTCTGCAACTTCTTCCTGAACCTCTAGTGCTGCAAGTACTGTCTGCTCATTATTTAGCCTCTGAGTCCTGCCGCGCAACTTCATGGGAATGCTATCTGGAGAGTCTTTCTGCAATGCCATACTTCACATCATCAAATACACCTTTCATCACAATCCTCAAAAACCCACCCCCCCTCACCCGCCGCTCTCCAGTCGCTGCAACTCCAGAATCCACATCACCCAGCGCCTGCAGTGAGGGGGTGCGGTCCACAGTAAGACTAAAAAGACGGCTCTGTCCCCCCTTTCTTTCTGTCTTGCGGAATAGCTTGCTGCCACACGGCGCCAAATAGGTGTTGTCACCTGCTTGCACCACTGCGCAACGCTGTAGGCACCCATCGAGGACATCAAAACCGAAATGGTGGAGCAAACTGTTCACTACCAGAATATGAGAGAACTCAGGGACTGTAGGAAGGGAAGTCATCTTAGTCGGCTGTTTGCCGGCTGCAATGGCATGAAAATGCGACAGTTTGAGCCTCTTCGACACTTGGGAGACATTGGGCAGCTTGAGGGTGCCTGCAATGGCCTCCAAAATGGTTGTAGCAAGTGCTTTTGCAAGCTGTGGTGTATACTCTGCCTCGCGAGCGGTATCGAACACGCCATCTTGTATGCTCCAAGGTGCGTGTTCATGGTCATTAGAGCACAAAATAATAAATATTTAAGGCCATGACTGCCCGATTGTTCGACGCCAAACAAGTCCTCTTGGGCCGTGTCCCACCAAACATGCAATTGTGCAGCTCACAGTACCTAACCTTCAGTTGTTCATCCACACTCTTCCAATAACTTGTCAACCACAACAAGCTTGTCCAGGGGTTCTCAACAGTCCACGTGATGCGCAGTCGATCCAAAGTCAGAATGAGCTCGGACATGAACCGATAAAGCCTGTTGGCTGCACGCAGCCTGGCCAAATTGACACCAGAGACTCCAGGTAGGCCATCCGGCCAACGAGCACTGCGAAGAGGTGGAGGACCATGGTGTGTTTTGTTCATACGTTTGAAGCGTGCCCTCGATGCTGTTCCACAAGGCACTCCGAAATGCACCCACAAGCATGTTCCGGAAGTAGCCCATGCAGTCGATCGCCAACGCCTGATGATCTTTTCGTGTCAAATCCAAACAAATCACTTTGACCCGTTGCTTTGCAACCTTATGATCCACACCAAAACTGTCGGGAAAGAAATGCTTCATTGCAAAGGTCAGGTTACCTGACCCACAAAATAATTCAATGCAAAAATAACCACTCGAGCCAAAATCAGGTTTCACGTGTTCAGATGAATCTGCACGTTCATTCTCCATCTCATGGCTCGGCCGTTTCCTTGCAGGATCTGGTGAAACTGCACGTTCTCGGAGTCACTGATGCTCCGTTTGCGGATGATTTTTGTAGCGCCCGGGCACTGCACAAACATGTTCGCGGGGGCAGGCGGAGCCCTGTTTGCAAGTACCCAAATTGTAGCCAAAACAAATCTGATCACCTTGTCGGGTGCGTGAACGCATGCCCTTAAGGCCTGCTGGCACCGGCTCTCTCTTTTTGTTTTTCCCTTTACCTTTCCCCTTCGTATTCTTTGTGAATTTGTTCGGCTGAGGCTTCTCCGAGCTTGCCTCCGCCTGACGCTTCTTGTCTGTCTTGTTTGAATCGCTCACATTGCTCGAGTTGGACTGAATAGGAACTGGCAACATGAAATAGGTCACCGAAACATCATTCTCCAGCTTCTCAATCATTGGGTCCAAGGGTTTGCCCGCCGTGGGCATGACCTTCAACGACCCAGTGAAGGTTTCACTCAAACGCACAAAGGCCTGTCGGTCTGCTCGTAGAAGCTGTGCTTGAGAGACTTTCGAAAAACTGGGGCGGCTGGCTGAGAAAAAACTGCAAACATCCGATCAACCCATTTCTTCATGACCTCATAGGTGGCCAAGTTGGCAAGGTCCATGGCAAGGGCCCTACGCTGCATTGCTTGAAAGAGGGCCAGATCCGATGTCAAACTAATCTCCTGTGTGATGGGCTGCTCCTTGATGATCAGGCCGGTCTTAGAGGCATCCAACTGCAGCTCCTTTTCAGGGTTTGCTCCCATCAACTCCTGCTGCCGAGACAAACACTTGGAATTGCGCTCCACCATCTGAGCACACATATCATACAGGCTATGCGCTGGTTCCAAAGGACCTGAGATATCCAGGCCCCTCAAATGCTGACGTTGCAACGCCAGCCTGGCATCATGTTCAGGCGCAGGCATTCTTTTGGGAGGCATGTCATCGCCCTTGGCCGCGGACTTGAGCCTGTAAATCATAAGGGTTTGTGATTCAAATAAGATCCTCTTGAAGGCTGAAAGATCTGCTATCGTGGCCACCACTCCAGGCCTCAAATTGGTCATGAAGCGTGTCACTTGATCATCGCTTGCCACCGTACCCGGACTTGTAATTGCAAAACTCAACTTTGCGAAGGTGGCCACACCGTTGTTTTTCAACGATGTGACCCAAGGCTCTGATAACCCACACTCATCTGCCTGCTGACAAAATGTCGCTTCAGAATCCAGCAGTGAAGAAAGAGCCATGATCACCCGGGACGCTGAGCTAGGAGTGAAGTTCTCGAAAAATATGAAACATCGATCACAAAAGAAAATTAAGCGTCTGCAGAGTCAAGTCTCTCTTGACAAACATGTGAGGATAAACTGCCTATCCAAAACATGCAGACACAGAGATGTTCATCGACCTATGTCGTTTAGCGCCTTCGCTTTGAAGCTCCTACGAGCAAAGAAAATTTCAGTTGCTTCCAACTAAAGCCCAAGTACAGTTGCTCTCAACTGTTTGATTGCCTTTGCAAACCATCAGCTTTCAGACATGTCTCAAAAGCTCATCACACTTAGATACTACATGTTGTGGCCGGCTGTTGCAAGGTAAAAACCGATGCTGGTGCGAGCCAAGCTGGTGCCCTTGGGGGTGGAAATCCGGGCCTTACTGGTAAGGCCCGGATCTAGGGCTGATTTTGCACAAACTTCAACAAAAGCGCAAACAAGCACACAACACTTCAACCGCAAGAAAAGCAGCATTATTTCACACAAGTGCCAAGTTCAAGCTCGTTTGAGACGTTTGGCCTTTGCCGCATCAAGTGCTTCTGCCATTGCAGATGCTGAGGTTATCACCTGACCCTTATAACACCGGCTGCATCTTGCATTCAAGGTTGAGCAGCCATGCATGAGAAGTTCATAAGTCGTGTCTGAAACCAATCTGCCGCAAAAGGTCTTGCTTGGATCCTCTGAGCATTTTTGCACAACATGTGATTTGACATTTCTGAGGACAGGTCCCGGTATGAAGTCATCACTGGGAATAGCCTCAGGCATTTGAACATCACCGGCCTCTGAACTGCTCGAACTCGTGGAAGCTAAAGAATCGCTGTCCTCAGCACTCTCTGCGTGAAATGACCTCTTGTCTGCAGCCTCAGACAATTCAGCATCGCCCAAAGGAGACGTCGGTACCGCCTCAATGTCGGGTTCCAGCTCGGAAGCTCGCTTAGTTGAAACCTGATGCCCATGTGCAGAAGTGTCAACGCCAATGGTTTCGTTTCTCTGAATCTTCATCAAGTCAATCATTCTCGAAGTGCGGGACTCATCCGGACGAAAATGGTCGCCGCGTATGTTGACCAGCATGCTGCAGTACAATTGCAAGGGACGAGTCAGCATGTCCCGTGAGTAAACTGACATCGATTTAGTGCCCTGCAGCTCATGGTGTCCAAGTAGCGTACGTGCTGGTTCATCAATACCATAAGATGCGGACCAACTCGAAGTTGTATGCTTGAAACTGTGTGATGTCAATCTATCCGGTTCCGCTGTCTTCAAAACTTTGTTGATGAAAGCAGAAATCTCATCTGAAGTGCAACTCCTCTTACAAAGGAGACCATCTGTTCCTGGAGCTCTGCATAGTGGTCCAAAAAGGAATCGCATTTCGATCAACCTTCAACTCCTCAAATGTACCCAACCAAATGGGAGGTCCAGTCAACTTCTGCGATGCCCTGAATTGGACATACAACTGGAATAAACCGCATCTTCTTCTTCAGAGAAGTTGCTGTCTTGTGGAAAGCGGTCTCCGTTTCAATGAAGCCAAAAGATTGACCCTCAAACTCATTCCGATCCAGCCAAAGGCGATGCATATGTTGCAAGTCAGACCACCTAGATCTGGAGAAAATAGCAAACAACACCGACCCAAGCATGTACAAATCAATAGTATCCAGCTTGGAAAGCATCATCCTCTCCGACAGAGCGACCTCCTGCGCCTTCAAAGGTCTTGCAGGGCAATGTGCATCCTTGGTCAGCAAAAGCCTCTGAGCTCGACCTTTCAGTTGCGGGTCTGACAGCAATGTATCATGTCTTGGAATCTGCATCACATACCTAGCAAATCTGAGTGCTTCCAAGAAAGAGATACCCAGGCTCGCTGAAGGTGTTCTCACATCTGATGAACTCAAGTAAGCCAAACACTGTACACGATTCCAGGGATCCCAAACAGCGCATGTATCGCGAAGCCACTTGAAGTACTGCAGCAAAGCCAAACCTCTTTTAATGGCTGTACGTGGAGACTTCACCCCCAAAGCATCTCTCAGGACCAGACCATGCTCGGCAGGATCCGTTTCATGAAGCTCGTTTTCCACAGCCACTCCTAACTCACCAGGAAAGCCAAGAACCTCAAAGACTTGTAACCATTTGTCTATGGCTCTCGTCCACAAAACCTCCAGCTGTGCGAAAATGTCTTTGTCCGGCCTGACCTTGATAGCAAATGAATAGAACGGCATGTCAAGGTCCCGACTCACAACCTTTTGCGCAGCATCTGCCACTCCACCAGTGGCTGCCAAAGATTGCACATGTTCTGAAACACTCAAATATTCCGCAGGCAATCCAGGTAAAGCCAAAGCATCACTTGATCCAGAAAAATGTCCCCCATGACACCTGACTCCCAAGGATACTTCAGTTCGGTATCAAATAAATTCTGCAGTCTTGCCTCGAAAAGAGCCTTGTTGACATCTGCTCTGGAAAAAGGTGTATCCAACTGTGCTGCATGATGCGACTGTCCATCATGATACTCTGAAGTGTCAGGATTCCAAATCAAACGCGTTTCCAAGGTCCGGGCCGTTGGATAAATCATCCTGTGGCAAATGAGCGACACCCTGATCAGGCACTGAACACAAGGACTCATCCACATCTGGTTTGTCTAGCATACTTGCAAAACTTGCAAACTCATCAACGTTCATGGTTCTCAAGGTGCAGTCTGAAGCGTTCTAACTCCTCCTCAATGTCCTGGTAATCAACCCTGATGCAATACGTTGCGCAGCAAAAAGCTCTCAAATCACCAGCTGAAAGGAAGGAGAAAACGTAAACACAGGAAAACTCGCACTAATCCCACAAGCACCACGTGACGCTAAAAATCTCACAGTCAGCCAAATTGTCGTATCTGTCCAGGTCAAGCTGAAGTGCCATACAGGATCAATCACCCATGGCTCCACAAAAGACAAAAGAAACGAGCCACGCGAGAAACGTGAACCCACCCACCCTCCCTTTGGAGGTATTGAACTTAAATGGCCACCGTTGGCATTTACTCTGAATCACCTTCGTGACAAAGTAAAAAGAATTGTTCAGCAAAGGTTTCCTAAAGAAACAACAACTGAACAAAGCTGCGAAACCGAGCTAGGGAAAAACACATTGAAGATACAACATGTATCAAAATACATGTTAAAACACAAAGCGTCTGCATTCAAACGCAAAGGTAATCTCAATCTTCAAGTGATCCCCTAAACTCGGAAGTTTCCTCAGACAAGAAGTTTCCACTCGCCAAGACGCAAGAGGAAGAGAGGAAACACAAAGGCACGCGCGTACACAAGAGGCCAGAGGGAATGGGAAACATCAAAGGAGGACCAACAGAAGCTGCACTCAGCTTCTAGGTTTTATTTGCGCTAGGAATAAGGTTACATCAGCGCGCTGAGTCGCAACTTCTTCGATGTTGGTGTCCGAAATGTCCACATAGGTAAGCAGTTTGCAATTATCACAGGCATGGGCTCCAAGTTCGTGGAAGTCGCGGGGCAGTTGGAGTTCTGTTAACCCTGTGGAGCAAAAGCATCCCGTCGGCAGCTCTCGACGTGGTTCTGACGTTGGCGAGTTCGAGTCATGACCATCTTGCAGGATTGTCATTGTAGCTAGGTTGATGCAATCAACAAAAATATAGTGTCCAAGCTTGGTTGCACTACCAATATTGTTGACTCCTCCTCCATTGGCATGGACCCATTGTAGCGAGCAGCAGCCAGCAAAAGCTTTATACCCAAAATCAGTGCAGCCTGGCACTGTTACGCTGTTGAGCCAGTGGCACAGACGAAAGGCACTATCTTCAATACGCACAACTGTGGTCGGCATCTTGACGATTCGGAGGTGACGACAGTTCTGCCAAGCTCGTGACCCAACAGTATGTAGGCCTGCTTCAATGAGGACATGGCGCATTCGCGGGACCGCAATGAAAGCACTGGGTGGGATAATCCCCGATTCATTAGCTGGAACCTTGACTGCTTTCGGGATGTCTCGGTATGCGCAATCTTCAAAGTCCTCTCTTTTGTTTGGAAGGCTTCGACGCAATCTCGAAACACAATGGTGATATGTCTGTTCTCTTGCAAAGCTTCCCAAATGTGGTCTTCCAGGTATGTTTGCGTGGTGGGGTGAACAAAGTCCACTTCGCAACCAAAGACGTCCAGATCCGTGACAGTGGCAAGGTGGTCAACAACATGCTCTTCAAAGTCTTCGAATCCGTCATGTTGGGCGATGTTTGTGGACACTTCGACTTCTTTGCCAGACAACGTAGTGAGCAACAGGCGACAGTCCACGGTAGTTTCACTCTCCTCCGATGTACTCGTGCCCGAGGCACTAGTAGACGCCATCGGAAGATTAGCCTGCGATGGATTTCGCTGTCGACGAATTCGCTTGAGCCAGCTTAGCCTTGTTGGGATTGGGGTTAGACCATTCTCCTACGTCATGTAATCTTAGACACGAAAGCTTGAGTGCGAAATTCGTGAAAAATTATGAAACACCGGTGACATCTTATTCAAATCCCTTTGCCCAAGACGAGTGCTAAGGCGCTCACCAAGGACGGGCTCTACTCTTGTGTGGTTTATCTGCCCTTTTTGCGCAGCCCTTTGTGCAGTTCTTCGTCAAAGGCATCTGAATCGGCGTCCCTCGGTGGGAGAAGCTTTATCCAAGATGAACGTTTGAACTCGCTACACATTAAGAAAGCATTATTTTCTGCATAGAGGCCCCTCCATGTAGCAGTATCATCCAACTTGGTAAAATGCGTGAGCTGCTCACAACCACAGAAGGCTCTGTTAGCCAAATAGCGAAGTCTTGGCGGGACAATGACTTCTCGGAGCGAGGTACAGCAGAGGAAAGCTTCCTTGCCAATTCGCCTGATCTTAGGCGGGAGCCAGACATCGACCAGGGCCACACAGTATGAGAAGGTGGAGCCCCAGATGGCAATGATGTCCGTGCACATGAGGTCTACTTCGACTAACCGCTTGCACTTCTCACACGCC